CCCACCACACCACAGACGCCCCACCACACCACAGACGCCCCCACCACACCACAGACGCCCCCCACTCACCACCCACAGACACACCACCACACCACAGACGCCCCTCACCACACCACAGACGCACCCCACCACACACCACAGACGCCCCACCACATCACAGACGCCCCCACACCCACCACCACACACCACAGACGCCCTCACCACACCACACCACAGAGTCCCTCCACCACACCACAGAGTCCTCCACCACACCACAGACGCCCCACCACACCACAGACAGACCACACCACAGCCCCACACACACCAGACTCCCCCACCACACCACAGACCCCCACCACACACAGACGCCCCACACCACACCACAGAGTCCTCCATCACACCACAGACGCCCCCACCACACCACAGACGCCCTCACCACACCACAGACGCCCCACACCACAGATGCCCCTCACCACACTATTGGTGGCTCCTCTATTAAGATATAGTCCTCATGGGATTTCGGTGTTAATTAGGTGATTAGGTTGAGTTAGGTTATGGTAAGATATATTTGGTTGTGTCGGGCTGAATAAGGTTAGGTTAGATTACGCGACATTTGGTTATGTGAATAAGTTGGATTAGGTAAGGATAAGTTATTTTATATTAGGTTTGTGTGGGTGTGGGGTACAAGAAACCGTCACAGAGAAGGTGATAAAAGATCACTACAAGAACAGTGACACCATAACTACACTGTCATCACCATCTTCTACACACACACACACGCGCGCGCGCGCCTTCATTAAATCGAGCGAGTCCGAAATAGAAATTGGCTGTGGCTTCGATGTCAATTAGTAGGTATTATTAAGGCTGTCAGGGACGCCTCGGTGGTCCAATCATGAGTCTCAGATCTTAGGTAAGCCAATCAGAGGATGCAGACACAAGCAGGAGATGATTGCCTCGAGAATCTGTTTCCTGATGCTCGCTGATGGATCAAATTTGTGGGTTTCTTCCATAACTGGTGGAGAGAGAACCCGTCATTCTGGCCCTGCTATCGTTATGTCTCAGTTGAAATAATCTAATTGATATGTTCTAGCTTCAGTTAGTTAGTTATGGGGGATTATAAAGCGTGAACTTTTGGTAATTGATTTTTATATTATAGTCTAAGTTTGCCAAGTGAATGATTTATAAATTGCTAAAGGGAAACTTCGACACGTACGGTACCTTTGGGAATCTATTCTTGTGAGGTAGACGTCTTCTCGGTAATTAAGGTAAAATTTAACACACTTACCATTGAGAATCCTGTGAATACTTCCTCACTTAAGGTAATAATACGAACCTTTCAGAATCCGACTCTTAAGGGAACACTAATACCACCTGGGATTCGAATTCACTTAAGATTGATTCGTTCATTTGGCAGAAGCTTCAGTCGTCTCGTCAAAGGAGGAGGAATTGATATGCTCCCGATCTATTGCTGTTGAAACTGACTTATTACGATACAAATGAAGATTAAAATGTTGATAAGGAGTTTACCTGATGACTGGTAATATTGGGGGAAAATGCAGGTATCGAAGCTCCTTATATCATTACACAGTAAATCGATCACGTGAGGATTAGGCACCCCGGCTTATTTCACCTGAGGATTAAACACAGGTGTATATATAGAAGTACGGTTAATTAGTGTAGTACGGACGTCACTCAAGCTCTCAGGAGCATGGGAAAAATGTGCTCAACGTGGGAATATTGTTGGTGTGATGATGGTCCTGTTGATGGGCGTGAGGTTATATTGATGTGATGATGGTCCTGTTGATGGGCGTGAGGTTATATTGATGTGATGATGGTCTTGTTGATGGGCGTGAGGTTATATTGATGTGATGATGGTCCTGTTGAGGGCGTGAGGTTATATTGATGAGATGATGGTCTTGTTGATGGGCGTGAGGTTATATTGATGTGATGATGGTCCTGTTGATGGGCGTGAGGTTATATTGATGTGATGATGGTGTTGAGTACCTGTGTGTAGGTGGTTGTGCAGGTTGTTGTTGTTGTTGTTGTCAATAATAATAATAATGTGGCTATATTTTATTGTTATTTAAAGAAACAACAGCAAAAATATTTTACATTAACCATAACAAATACATTTCATAATTTAATTAATGTAAAGTTATCTTAAAAAAACGTTCCATTTGTAAGTGTCTTGTAGGTACAAAATCTTCCCGTATAAATCATTTAACTTTTAAGGAGTTTTATTTTGAGAGAAATATTGAGCACTGAATTTGAAAACTTAATTAAGGATGTAATTATGAGAGGCAACAGCCTTTAAAAATGTATAATGACCTCTTCTCTGATGCCTTAAAGATCACAAATCAAGGTTTTTTTTACTCTGCCGAATATATGAAAAATCGACAATACAGAAGCTCATAGTCTTAAATGTCCCTCAGTTAAATTATTATACACAAATATAAATGTGAATGTTTCTTCTTCTTCTTTTCATTTATGTTGACACAAAAGATGGATTCTGAAATATTTAAATTTCACCTCAACTGGATATACAGGGTTTGTCATAGGTAGTGAGTATGGTTATATATACTGTATATATATATATATATATATATATATATATATTATATATATATATATATATATATATATATATATACATACACACACACACACACAGGGTGTCTCATAGATCGTGTACCATACTAACATTATATATTCCTATGGTGCACCACTTACTAAGCACCCTGTGTATAAGACGAAGATAAATTGTGAAATGTTCTCAAGCTACATTTCCCCCGTGACATTACTGTAGCTCAGAGATTTAACTAACCTAACCTACCTCATGGAGACGGCGGCAACAAAATGGCGTCAGAGTTCCACCTAGACTCTACGGTAAATAAAACATATGTTCTTGCATACTTTCTCAGGACTACAATGAATTCTAGATCGTGCTGAGAGACTGTTGTCGTATACAAATATGTTTTCATGCATCGGTTTAAGGGTGAATAAACTTGGGGATTGGAAGCTGCAGGAAACCTCTGGCTACAGTGGTAATGTGATTGTGTCGGACGTGTGGAGTTGGTGGGTGTGGAGTTGACGGGTGTGGAGCTGGTACACACACGCACACACCACACCACCCAATGTCTCCATGACCACGTAAGGTCCTTCATTATCAACATCTACGGACGAGTTACTGAACCACGTGGCCTACGTGACCTCACACAGTAGACCAAGAGACCAGCCCGGGCCATCAACTGTAAACTATAATAATTTGTATGTTCAATTCATGTTCCTTCTCCGTTTTCAATAAACCCTGAATTATTATTATTACACACACGCACACACACAAAAAGGTCGAGAATGGAGGGATACCTGGCACACGTTCCCTGGAGTTAACAACCAATCAAATTGCTCGAAATCGATAACCTCTGCGCCTCGCCCCCACTCAGAGGTCGTCTGACTTCACTCACACTGAACTTGCCAGGAATTCGATATTTTCTCTCCTTTGAAAACGTAAACCCTTTCAGCGTGATGTTGGTGTGAGTGTTGGTCTGTGTCGCTCTCCCAGTGTTACAGTTTAAAAGTGGAGAGACGAGTTAGGGAAGTGGGATAGTCATTTTGTTCAGCCCGAAAGGTCTGGGCACCGTTTTATTTTGGGATCCCGTAAGGATTACACCCCCCCCCCCCCTCCTCCCGCTTGTGTTACCTGATGGTTAAGTACCCTTAGGCCCCCTATACACGTTCAGTTCGGTTTGACAGTTCGCCTGCACAAGCACGTTACCAGAGGCCAGTGTGGGAGGAGTTTGAGGGCGTGAGGTAGTTGAGACGCTGCTTAAACTATGGTCTGTACAAACTGAACTGTGCCAGCTTACAGTGCGATGAATAATTTCAGGCAGAATTGTGTTGCGTTGTAGTGGCAACGTCGTGGTCGAAGCTTGTGTTGTAGTGACAACGTCGTGGTCGAAGTTTGTGTTGTAGTGACAACGTCGTGGTCGAAGCTTGTGTTGTGGTGACAACGTCGTGGTCGAATTGTGTTGTAGTGACAACGTCGTGGTCGAAGCTTGTGTTGTAACAACGTCGTGGTCGAATTGATTAGAATAATTTAAGAAAATCCAAGTTTATGCCAAGTTAAGAATAAAGAAAGTGTGAGAGAAAGACACCTGAGTGACCTCTGACCTTTAGCTGGGAACAATTAAGAGGAAGACGCTGCCACAAACACACACGACGAACAAAGGGTAAATTATTTGAAGTGCTCTTCGTAAATAAATAATAATATTAGTGCAGGTGACAGTCTCTGTTGAGGTGTTGTACACGTGTCTTGTGTGTCTATCAGACAATAACACAGACAGGTAACTCGATCCCCTCAGCGGGTAATTAAAGCAGTCTCACGGCACTTATCTCACCTTACTCACAAGAAGAGTTTGTGTTCATTCATCTTTTTTGAGGAGGTAATTCTTCCTCCACTTCGTTTCTGATAATCTTTTTCTTCCTTTTGGACAAAACCTTAACACACGAGCCTAACAAGTAGGTTAAGCTAATTTAGGTTAGTGGTTAGGTTAAGTTATATTAGATCAGTTTAGGTTAACTTAGATCAGATCAGATCAAGTTATTTTAAGTTATGAGATCAAATTAGGTGAGTTAGGTTAAATTAGTGTTTGCGGCCAAACTAACATTATAACTAACTCTAACGTCGTTCTGTCTCTTATGTTATTAAAGTGATAAAATAAACTGCGAAATGTGTGAGAGGAAAAATAACTTAAGGAAACTTGATGGCAAAATAGTGAGTCCAACTAGAAATATGAGGGGAAAATATCCTTATGAAACTCTAGGAAAATTGGGGAAAATATACTATACAAAGCTTTAACGAAACTGGGGTAATAAGTAGAGGGAAAACGATAGCTTTAAAATGCAGGAAACACCATAAATATATCCTAAGAGGAAATATCTAAAGACACCTGCGAGTTTTGGGGGTTGGCGCTTGGCGAGTTGAGACTCGAGAAAGCTTCAGCTTCAGTTAGTAGTCGACCGTCGAGGTGATAGGACGTACCACTCGGAGCTCCTCTTCCTTCTGCCCGGTGTGTTGGCGGTGTGTGTGTGTGTTTGTATTGTGGTGCTGTTTCGTGTATTTTGTTAATAATTGAAACTTTTTGGTGTTTTTTGTTAATTATTAGAACGTTTTAGTGATATTTGTTATTTAGAACTTTTTGTGTTTTTGTTAATATTTGAAACTTTTAGTAAATTTGGCAGAACAATTACACGTTTTTTGTTAAGAAAATTTTCACCATAAATATTTAAAAGTTTTGAAGAGTTGAGTTAATAAATAAAACTTTTGAACATCTGAGTTTAATTTAATTAATTTTAGACGTAATCCTTTTAACTTTATAAATTTAGTTAATAATAAAGTGTTTAGTATAGTTATAAGAACTTATTAATTTAAATTTTTTAATGTGTATGTGTGTCTGTCTGTAAATCCTCGAACTCACTTTTGACCCCCATTGGATGAACTCACTTTTGACCCCCATTGGATGAACTCACTTTTGACCCCCCATTGGATGAACTCACTTTTGACCCCCCATTGGATGAACTCACTTTTGACCCCCCATTGAATGAAACTTACCTACATACATACATTTAACTTCACACATTTTCATTACACATGTGAGTTTTTCAGTCAATTTTGTGAGGAAACTGAACGTCCAATATAGGAAACGGACGGACACTCTCGCTCATAGTGTTTGAGGCCACTTTGCATACATCAACATTGTGTTATATGAAAGTATGTTCTGGGAGGCCGAGAGATTTTTTCTTCTAGGTATATTGTATTGCAAGGTGATGTTGGTTATTGTAGGGTGATGTTGGTTATTGTAGGGTGATGTTGGTTATTGTAGGGTGATGTTGGTTATTGTAGGGTGATGTTGGTTATTGTAGGGTGATGTTGGTTATTGTAGGGTGATGTTGGTTATTGTAGGGTGATGTTGGTTATTGTAGGGTGATGTTGGTTATTGTAGGGTGATGTTGGTTATTGTAGGGTGATGTTGGTTATTGTAGGGTGATGTTGGTTATTGTAGGGTGATGTTGGTTATTGTAGGGTGATGTTGGTTATTGTAAGGTGATGTTGGTTAGGTGATGTTGGTTATTGTATGTTGGTTATTGTATGATGTTGGTTATTGTAAGGTGATGTTGGTTATTGTAGGGTGATGTTGGTTATTGTAAGGTGATGTTGGTTATTGTAGGGTGATGTTGGTTATTGTAAGGTGATGTTGGTTATTGTAGGGTGATGTTGGTTATTGTAGGGTGATGTTGGTTATTGTAAGGTGATGTTGGTTATTGTAGGGTGATGTTGGTTATTGTAAGGTGATGTTGGTTATTGTAAGATGATGTTGGTTATTGTAAGGTGATGTTGGTTATTGTAAGGTGATGTTGGTTATTGTAAGGTGATGTTGGTTATTGTAAGATGATGTTGGTTATTGTAAGGTGATGTTGGTTATTGTAAGGTGATGTTGGTTATTGTAAGATGATGTTGGTTATTGTAAGATGATGTTGGTTATTGTAAGGTGATGTTGGTTATTGTAAGATGATGTTGGTTATTGTAAGGTGATGTTGGTTATTGTAAGGTGATGTTGGTTATTATGTAAGGTGATGTTAAGTTATTGTGGGGTGATGTTGGTTATTGTAAGGTGATGTTAGTTATTGTAGGAATTGATGTTGGTTGTTGTGAATTGATGTTGGTTATTGTAGATGATGTTGGTTATTGTGGGGAGTAGTGTTGGTTATTGTGGTGATGTTGAGTTATTGTAAGATGATGTTGGTTGTATGAATTGATGTTGGTTATTGTAGGGTGATGTTGGTTATTGTGAGTGATGTTGGTTATTAGGGTGATGTTGGTTATTGTAGGGTGATGTTAGGTTGTTATGGTGATGTTGGTTATTGTGGGGTGATGTTGTTGGTTATTGTAGGGTGATGTTGGTTATTGTATGGTGTGATGTTGGTTGTTGTAGGGTGATGTTGGTTATTGTAGGGTGATGTTGGTTATTGTAGAGAATTGATGTTGGTTATTAAGGGGTGATGTGTTGGTTATTGTAGGAGGGGTGATGTTGGTTATTGTAGGTGATGTTGGTTGTGTAGGGTGATGTTGGTTATTGTGGGTGATGTTGGTTATTGTAGGTGATGTTGGTTATTGTGGGGTGATGTTTAGTTTGTGTGTAAAAGGTGATGTTGGTTATTGTAAGGTGATGTTGGTTATTGTAGGTTATGTGTGGTTAGATGTTATTGCTATTGTAAGGTGATGTTGGTTATTGTAGGGTGATGTTGGTTATTGTAAGATGATGTTGGTTATTGTAAGATGATGTTGGTTATTGTAAGATGATGTTGGTTATTGTAAGGTGATGTTGGTTATTGTAAGATGATGTTGGTTATTGTAAGGTGATGTTGGTTATTGTAGGGTGATGTTGGTTATTGTAAGGTGATGTTGGTTATTGTAGGGTGATGTTGGTTATTGTAAGGTGATGTTGGTTATTGTAGGGTGATGTTGGTTATTGTAAGGTGATGTTGGTTATTGTAGGGTGATGTTGGTTATTGTAGGGTGATGTTGGTTATTGTAAGATGATGTTGGTTATTGTAGGGTGATGTTGGTTATTGTAAGGTGATGTTGGTTATTGTAAGATGATGTTGGTTATTGTAAGGTGATGTTGGTTATTGTAAGGTGATGTTGGTTATTGTAAGGTGATGTTGGTTATTGTAAGATGATGTTGGTTATTGTAAGGTGATGTTGGTTATTGTAAGGTGATGTTGGTTATTGTAAGATGATGTTGGTTATTGTAAGATGATGTTGGTTATTGTAAGGTGATGTTGGTTATTGTAAGATGATGTTGGTTATTGTAAGGTGATGTTGGTTATTGTAAGGTGATGTTGGTTATTGTAAGATGATGTTGGTTATTGTAAGGTGATGTTGGTTATTGTAGGGTGATGTTGGTTATTGTAGGGTGATGTTGGTTATTATAATTTAACCTTTTTTGTGTTATTTGGTTATTACAAGCTTTAAACTCGTAAAAAATAGAATCCAAATATTTCTGCCAGCCCGAACGATCATTACGCCAGCGAGACCATTCGTTTGAAGGTGTCATGGCGGGCAGTAAGGAGCCAGTGGTCGTGAAATGAAATGGATAACAGCCTCGGACACGACCAGTCAGCGGGCGACGCGTACCGGGGTGTAACGCGAAGTGTGACGGAAAAACTAGAGTGGCTGCCACGCGACTTAATATGTGAGTGTGACGGCCAGGCGGGGCGAGTCAGGCTGGATTTATGTGTTGGGTATTTTATTTACTGTTTGGTATATATACTGTAGGGTTTAAGCTAACTGAGGAGTGTATGACCACACCTAACCTAACCAAATCCACTCTCATCCTAGGTAGCGTTAGGGTGGTTAATCTTCAGGTGAAATAAGCTCGAGATGTCATTCCTCACGCGATCCAAAATTGAACTTTATTATGATAACATTATAATGTGTCAATCTGTCTGAGGGTTGGCGACCACGGCACCCACCACTCCAAGCATTTTCTGGGTACATTTACTGTCGCCGTTAATTAGTCTTAATGAGTTTCGTCTCATTAGACCTCCTGCAGTAATGTTTTTTTTAGCCTTTTGCTAATTCGTCTTATTATTTATTTCTCTTTAAGAACTCCGTTATGTTGAGGTGCCCCCCCCACCTTCTCCCCACTCAATACCATCCCTCCTCCCCACTCCTCCCCCTCTCCCTTAATCCCTTCCTCCTACATACCCACATCCCTCTACCCCCTAATCCATTTCCCTTCTCACCCCTCCTCCCCTGTAATTCCTTCCTCCTACCCTTCCCCCCTCTTGAGTACGGCGAATTTAGTCCTCACACTCAAGGAGTTCAGTCATTACCGTAAAGAAGTTAAATCATCTCACTTAAGACACTAAACAGGTGACAAAGATCTGGCTGAAGGTGTTGACCCAATCAACACGACTCTTTTACGTTTAACCTCCCGAGATAAAAGCCAACTTGAGTTTTGGCTAAAGAACCACTTCCTGTGTGTATAATTGAATGATTCCTCTAGCTCACAGAATCATCACTCATGGTAAAGCTCTTGATGTGCGGCAGTGTCATCGATTTCGGATAAGAGGAACAGGGTGGGCGGGCGGGCGGGCGGGCAGGTCCTGTGGTGGCATCGGTCTCACTCTCTGGTAAATGGTTCAGGTATTTGAGAATTGGGGTAAAATAATTATGCCTTTCATCTGTTCATGTTAGTGGGTAGAGGGGGGGGATATCGTTGGTGCATTATGGGAATTCTTCACGGGGGGGCAGTTTATCGTAGAATGTATACAATGAGGAATTTGATCTGTTTTTCGGTAAAGTTGCATAGTCCCATCCTTCTCCCCTCTGACTCACATCTACCCCACTCACTCCACCCCTTCACCTCCTCCCTCCCTCACCTCACCTACCCCATCACCTCCCTTCCTCACTCACCCCCCTTCACCTCCCTTCCCACCACCCACCCCTTCACCTCCCTTCCTCACTCACCTACCCCTTCACCCCTCACTCACCTACCCCTTCACCCCTCACTCACCTACCCCTTCACCCCTCACTCACCTACCCCTTCACGTCCCTCACTCACCTACCCTTTCACCCCTCACTCACCTACCCATTCACCTCCCTCCCTCACTCACCTACCCCATCACCTCCCCTAGTGCACCATAAGGTTGCTCCACCATCAACAACCACACCCACTACTGTTAGTTTGTCATTACTTGACATACAGTACAAGGAAGGGAAACGCTCCTTCACTTAGGTTGGGAATCGACCCTGGAACCAACTGCTGGCTAGGAGAATGTGCTAACACCTGAGCTACTAGACGCTATGTTGAAGCCTTATAGTGAGTTAGTTTTAATAATTGAAGCCTCGAAGCAAATTCTAATCGTAATTGAAGCCTCGTTGAGAATCGTACTACTAAGCGCACTACTTAATATAGTGATTTAGAAGTGTATTATGTCATGGTATTATTACAACCCCTTACACGATATAGAATAATATACTGTAATATTTTTGTTTGTCACC